CTATCTGCTGATTGTCCTAGCTCTAATTTACCTCACGGATGGCGGAGACGCTACTAGTGAAAGATTTTCTAATTACCCCACTTAGAGCAGACCTAGAGATACGCGGAGGAAACGGACGTGCGAGATTAATTGGTGGCGACTGCCGCGCTATTATTCGACGCTAAGATCTCGAACTGCGTCGTCGAACCCTCATTGGACACGACGCTCGAAAGTACCTGATAAGAATAACGAGCCATTCCGGATATTCCGCCGCCGAAGGTCGAACACAGTGTCGTACTTGCTCAGTATACGCTTCGTTATGAGGTGGAAATCTAGCTTAAAACTTAGTATGGTAGGGCCGTGGAGTTAACCGAGGGTGGATGATTTCTAAGCGCGGCCGGCTACGTGTTTCGCGATTCGTGCTTGAGAGACACATATTAGTGCTCTGGCACGGGATATCTCTCGAGGCAGAACCTTACCAAACAGAACGACCTCGCCCATACTAAGGTTTCGTCATCGACCTCGCGGCATCATAAAGAGGATGGCGCGGGTAAACTAGCTTAGCGCTAATGCGCCGGAGGCGTTTATATATGCATTGAAACCGGCACCGTTTATCGCGAGAGCAGGGTGGGCATAAATACTTCGAGTACAATCGATGCCCTCCCCACCACTTCTCTTCCTTCTAAAACTCGCGGAGCTTGCATCCTGAACAAAATTGTGGATCTCGGCTTCTGTGCAACGTCTTCAGAATAGTCACCAGCTTCGTAGACGTAGTTAGGCTTCGCTTCACTAATGAACGGTATTAGCTCCGCTCTATAGTCGATATCCAGTCTCGATCTCGTGAACGAAGAGATAGTCGATAGGATATACTTCGGCGCTTAGCATACCGGATTATTATATATCGAGGATAGAGTAGGATATATTATTAAGTTGCTTAGTACGGCATAAGGCCATAGTGGGTTCCACCGGTTACGGACCTCACTAGAACAACGCTAACTGGCGACGTCGATTCCTCTACCACTGCATTATTATCCTTCCCGTTAGCACTTGTCAAGTGTGTCGGTATTACTGTGACAGGGGTAAGGTCGACGGCCCGAGGGAGGGAGGGAGGCAACAGCCCAAAGATGGACTTCGATCCCATATTGGATCGGGAAAACCAAGCCGAAGAAAAAAGAACTGTTCACCTTTCGTCTTTGGCCAAGGCGGATCGGGGACAAGGAGAGCTCATATACTTCCTATCCGACCGAGGAAGAAACCGCTCACACCCTTTTCTCGAGTTTGTAGTTGATGCTAAGGATAGCGGGCCACTCGTCGGCGACACAGACAGAAGGTCCGATAGTATCTTCTTTGCTAGCTCTTACCTATCCGTCGACCTGGATTCCTTGGGAATCCGGGCGAGACTACAGCAAATCGCGAATCGATCACACCTATCGATGGTGCCCGAAAGACCATTATGTTCGACCTAATACCGGCTATGGTCAACGAATCAATTCGAAAAATGGGCGATTCAGGCTGGAGGATTATGAAATCCGAACCAGATATTAGACACCGCTGTCGTTTCCCCAGGTCAGGGTACTGTCGAACTGGCCAGACCTAGCCACCGCGGTGGAAAAGGCTCTGGCACGACACGCCCGACCACGACTAGAATGCCTCCGATATGTCACTTACACTCTCCGCGATATTCGCCTCCGAACTACCCTCGGGCTTCCTAACACTCCCCTCACTATCAACCATAAGCCTCTAGTCCATCGGGAAGACGGAGGCCGCATTCACTCCTCTTATGCGTATTTCAACGACACTGAATCTTTCACGAGTATGGGTAAAAAGCCTTCGGATCTACACTCTGTCAACATCTTGTGGTATGGAAGTCCTATCGTTTGAGTGGTTATCTCTCCATAACACACAGCCAGTTTGGAAGCCCTACTTGCACAGGAAGTGTAGGAACTGCCGCGTTATGGCCAGTTTGTCCACCCCGCCAGCTTGATCTCCCCCCTTCCGAATTGACCAGATGGGGGACAGGCTTTAGTATGTTTGTACAGTTTTCGGGAGAAGCTGTCAAAATGGAAGAAAATACCTACTACTTTACTTGGAAAACAGGGGCTAATCTATCCGAAATGGTGAGTTGCTGTGAGTCGGACTGGTCCCCACCGCCACTCTATGGATGCCGTTGCGTTGGCACTGCGTGGGCACTGGATCTCCCCTTGAGGGCGAACGATACTGTCCGAGAGCACTCCCAGTCACCGCCACTAAACAATCCAGAGATTTTTCCACCCCAAGGTTACAACCCGGTTCAATTCGATATGCACCCCTTCCACAGCATAGAGGAAGCGCCTTACCAGGAGGCTGGACATAATTTCACCCCCGCAAACAATTATAAAATAATCGAAGATAAAGACGTAGCGGCCATAGCATTACTCGTTTTGTACAGTTCTTGACCCAATCCCTACCTTATGGACGCGACGGTAGGCGCGGCGTCGCGAATAGTGTGCCCGGAAGTCCTCGGTGAAGAAGCCAGCACTGCTATAGTCCCAGTTGGCGGCGATCGCCCTAGAGGAGAAGATGAGGATGATCAACTAGGCACCCGTGTCCGAGCTAGCGTACCGAGTCCAAATAGCCCGTTTGACCACCTTCCTGTTACCCTAACCCTATGGGGAAGGTTAGCCGATGGGTAACACTACACCACTAACTACTACAAGACGCGCTAGTGAGTTAGCGTACCACTATTTAGATAGAGATTTTCTAGTTATATAGAAAACTAAGAATAGAACTAAGTAGTCCTATAGGTTATAAGCGCCTAAACGCTTGATTACGCGTCGCTACTTTATCGTTTAGTTTATTCTAGATTATCCTTTCCTAGCTATCTAGTAGGAATAACCTATCCTTCGTTTATAGCGGGTTTATAGTTATACGACGAGGAGGTCCTAAACGGAACCTTATAGATAACGAAGATAATATAAATCGCGACCCTTTTACTAAGGGTAATTCTATCACGAATCTACCTATTTATCTATTAATTTCTAGATAGACTAATATCGCGGGGTATATAACTATTCTAACCTAGTTAAATTAATCACTAGTCGAGCGCTAAATCGATTATCGAATCGGACGAAACCTTTTCTACTCTAATATCGTACCGAGCCGAACGGCTCTATAACGCTATAGAAAAGGTAGAATAATAGTTAAAATAGGGGAGTAAGAGTTCTAGAATAGAAACAAAAATCGCCTAATTTTATAGAGTAAAACTAACTATATAATATAGCTATTAATATATAAGATAGAACTATAGGTATAAGAGTACTATAGTATAGTATCTCGTCCTCTAGTTATCGATTCTTATACTCTAAACGTAAAGAAACGAGCGGCTAGAATAGTAGATTAGTTAGCGACTAAGGAGACTCGACTAAAAGAAGATTTTTTAGAGAATATATTAATAGCTTATTATAGAAAATAGCGAGCGTTAGAAGATAAGAAGTTCGAGAAATAAGAAGTTATAAACTTAAAGATATAGAGTATTATCTATAATCTCTACGCGAATTATATTAAGCTATTAATCGTATATAAAAAGACTATAAGAGATATACTTATAAAGCTTAAATAGACTTATAAGTAATATAGTCTTATAGCGATCTATTAATAGATAATTCTAGTTAATAATTACTTACTTAAATAGTTTAATACTCTAGAGTGATATATAAATAAATTAAGGGCGAATCGGTCTAGCTTTAATATATTAAGATATTAGTTTAATAACGACTTTTAGATATTAGTCTTCCTAAAGAGATTAGATAAAGACTATAAATTAGTAGTATTATAGATTCTTAATATATCTATAAATATAGTAGTCTTTAATAACGCTATTTAGAAGATCTTCTAATACGATATAAGAAAGGATACTTAAACTACTAGTAATAGTTAATCGAATTAAGCGAATATCTTTAAGACTTAGAGCTAGACTAAGACTAAAACTAAATAAATAAATAAAATAAGAATACTAATAATAATAAAGATTAAAATAAGAATAAGGACTTAGAGAAATAGGCCTATCGAATATATAAGATAAACGATTATAAATAAAGAAATTACAAATCGAATCTTAATCGTGTTAATAATAACGAATCGAGTAAATCGAAGTCTAGGAATAATAAGAGTAGTACTAATATCTCTATCGTAGACTAGTTAACGCCTAAGATACTTAATTATCTCAGAAGTACTGCGAGTTCTNCTTTCTAATTAATAGTAGTATATCTTATTATATAACTATATAAGGATAAACTATATTAACTTTTATTAGATATTAATAATAGTAAGATTAGTAGATTATAGCGAGATTAAGGTAGAGAACTATAGCGATATTATCTTAGATTATAATCGCGACGGCATTATAGTACCTATTTAGTTTAATAAGATCTAGTATTTCCTAGTTTTAGGAGTCAATCTATTAAGTATTTATATACTTAAGGAATAAGGAATATCTACTATTCTTAAGAGTATTCCTAAGCTTATAAATACTAGACTCTATAAGAGTAATAAGAGAGTTATAAGTATATAAAAGAAAGGTTATTATTATCTATTAAGTATAAAAGATAATATCTCGTCTCTAATTAATCTTTATCGAGAGAATTCGATTATAATACTTTCGGTACGAGATAGTAAAACGACTAGATTATAGTATTAATAAATAGATTACTTATCGCCTAACTATCTTAATTAATTAAAAACGATAGCTAACGGTATTAAATTTATAGATTTATTTAGTAAACTCTATAAGGATTATATTCTAGCTAACTAACCTTATATACTATAAAAGGGAAAAATAAGTAGTTTATTTATTAGATTATATTAATTAATTTATATCGACTTAACTAGATTAATTATACTTATATCGATTAATAGATCTAAATATATAATAACTATTACGGACGACTATTCTAGATAAGTAGTTCTTTACTTTTTAAAGAATAAGTCTTAGGCGGAGCTTTAGATAAGATATTTTATTACTATTATAGCGAATATAGATATATCTATAGCTTTTATTCGTATTAATAACGGTAGTAAGTTTAAAGATTCTATCTTACTTAAATATCTTAGAGAGATAAAGATCTATTAGAAGTTAATAATACTCTATAGTTCTAAGTTAAATAGAGTCGCGGAGTATCTTAACCGAATACTTATAAGTAAGATAAGATCTATAAGGAAAGACTTAGGATTATTAGAGCTTCTCTAGAAGAATCTAGTTTAAATCGCTATCTATTTATATAATTATAGTCCTAATCGATCGATTAATTAGATTATACTATTCGAGCGTTTTACTAGTAAACGATCTAATCTAAGTTATCTACGAATTATTAGATCTCGTATTTATATTTATATATCGAAAGAGAAGCGCTAGAGTAAATTCGCTAATAGATCTAAGGCTTATATTATACTTAATTATAGTAATTCGCCTTTAATCTATTAGATATACGATCCTATTAATCGTAAGATATTTCAATCAAAAGATATAGTCTTCGATAAGGACTAATATCGCTATCTTATACTAGTTAAGACGATAAACGAATTCGATAGTAATAAGAATATCTAGAATACGCCGTTAGTCGACTATTCGGGTTTTATATATAAGAAATCACTAGATTTACTATAATCTCATATAGAATAATAATAAGTAATTATTAATCTAATATAAGATAATAATACTATCTCTTAATAATAGATTAAGTTATTAATAGTTAAATAATAAGCTTAGCTATCTACGTCTTATCGTAGTAGTAGAATAATAAAGCTATCGTTAAAGGCTAAAGAAACGATAGAATAGATAATAGCTAATACTATTATAATATATCTTAACGCGGCGACTATTACTAGATATAAGATTATATCCTATAGTTAGACTATAAAAGATTTAGATCGTGACCGTTAGAAGTATACTATTAAATAGTAATATTAGACCTATCTTAATAATAATATATAGATAGTTATAACTATTAAGCCGGGAGTAAATATTCTTATAAACTATTAGATACTAGTTAAGAAACTAGATTAATTTAAGATATATTAAGTTATTTATAAGAATAAATAGATTCGCGACGTTAATTATTACGAGATCTACGCGTTAACTACTAGATTAGGATTAATTTATTTACTTCTTATAATCGCTTATATTAAGAGTCTTAAATCTACGTAATTAGATATAATTAACGCTTTTCTTAATTCTAGTCTTATAGAGACTATTTATATATATTATCTAATAGACTTTAGCGAAAAAGATATCTATTATTTACTTCTAAAAGCGTTATTCGGATTATATTAGTCGCTATAGGAATAATAACTAGATATCTCGTATAAGCTAAAAAAGATAGACTTTTATAGATATTAGGGAGATTAATCTATATTTATTAATACTTAGAGTATTATAATTATTCTTTATATAAATAATCTCGCTTTATTTATATAGAATAAATAAGCTATCGAGACGGTAAAGATAGAGCTATTAGCGTTCTATAAGCTAAGAGATCTTAGAGATTTATAGATATTCGTTAGGATTTAAGTCCTATATCTACTAGATAAGATCTTTATTTATTAATAAGACTATTATAATATAATCCTAGAACGATTCGGTTATTAGGATAATAGATCCGTTAGGACTCCGTTTAACGATAAGATAGTGTTACGACCTTATAAGGATTAATACCTATAGACGGTATTAAAGCGTTTTTAGGAAATAAATAATTCTATAGTATAACTAGCGAATTAGACTAGGCTAGATATTACCTATACTTACTTAAAAATCGCGTAGTTTAACGCTAATTCGTCTAATACGGCGATTAAATATATAAGTTACTTACTTAGATATCTAATAGAAACGAAGTCCTAGAGTATTTTATATAAAAAGACGTAAAGTACGACGAGATCGTAGATTATTTAGATAGTAATTAGAGAGATAAATATTCGATTAATATAAAGTTAACCTTAGGCTATCTATTTACACTTATAAACGGACCGATTATATAGTTATTAAGGAAATAGCGGACGACTATAATATCTTCGATAGAGGCCGAATATATTAAATAATATAATATAATAAAGAAGACTATTTATTTAAGGTAGTTTATTAACGAACTAGGTTATAAAAACGCTACGGTAATAACTATTTACGGAGATAACTAGACGGCACTAGCGATAGTAGAAATACTATCTATATACGGGAGGATAAGATATATCGAATTCTAGTACCACTATACGTATAAAAAGATCGTAGATAAAATAGTAGTATTCTCGTTTATACTAAAATAGCTATAGATAGACTAACTAAGCTATTAAGTCTAGTTATATTTGAGAAGTTTAGAGAGATAATTAGAATAACGACTCTAGAGCGAGTTACGAACGCGTCCTAATAAAAAATCAGATCGCGAGGATAGGATTAGCCAGAAGTGGTCAGAATAGACTAGGAGTGACTAGAGAATTAGACACTATCTAAGGTCTAGTTATTAGGATATTTTATTAAAAGTTAATATTTACTTATAGCTCTATCTAGTTAATTTGACTATAAATACTATCCGACGATATATACTCGTATAGACTACTAACGTAGATTCTGTAGGTCTTGTGGCACTTATACCTTATATAGGGGGGTATTACCCTAACCCTATAGGGAAGGTTAGTCGATAGGTAATACTGTATCACTAACTGTCATAAGACGCGCTAGCGAGTTAGCGTGCCACTATTTAGATAGAGATTTTCTGGTCACACAGAAAACTAAGAATAGAACCAAGTAGTCCCACACTTCCTGCGGACACTTTTGTTCTCGATAGCTTTCCTTAGACACCCGTTGGCACGTCGGATGGTGACCCTAACCTTAGAGTATTGCTTCGCGATCCTATCGGTCAATAAGATCTTTTAAGCTGGTATAGAGATTTGGGGAACATTGGCGACTACGATCTCTATCCACCTACCAGCCCCGGATTCCATATTCCGCTGGACACAATAGCCTCCAGTGCAAAGGCATCTCAACCGACTGTGACGGCAGTGGACGCTCCGGGATCCAGGACGGTAGGTATCCTCTCGGCGTCTGTGCCTCGCAGTCGTAGAGACGCCTCAGAGGGTTTAGGAGACGACATGAGCTCATTAGGGTATTCTGGGATAACTAAGCCGACGGGCTCTGCGCAGCACTCTCCGTGTGCGACGCCACCAGCCGTCCTCCGAGCTACCCGTAAAACGGAATCCACGTCCAGATCCATCACGCTCATCCAGGAAATCGATGCCCTTATCGCCCTTGGTCTCAGACACAGAGGTCGTTTGCTGTGGAAGTCTGACGATATCGTCTTCGACGTAGAAAGCGTATTGGACACATTCAGACTATCAAGATTACTCGGCGACAATGCGATACTAGAAATGCTCCACATCTTAGCACTAGGACGAAACGACGTACGCATAGGAAATCTAATTGTCTTTGCCATATCCTACTGGAAACTAACTGGGCTTCTGAGACGACAATACTCTTCCCGATACGTCAAGGGAATCACTCTTTTCTATTGAGCGTGAATAGGTTAGATTATGTTATGATAATTCACGATAATAAGCCATATAAAGATATAGTATCCCTAATCGCCAGAGCAATCCTCGTAAATAATGTTTGGAAGGTTCGGTACAAAGAGGTAAGACAAAGCCCGGTTGTTTAATGACGATTCTAATAGTGGATAGATCCTCAAAAACGACGGCCAAAACTCTAATATCATTCTCTTACTAGAAGCCGAGATACTCCTTAGAGGTAAGATAGTGAATGTTGTAGATTTGGATTCCCTTCGACTACGATATCTACGCCTTTTTATAGGCGAGTTGCTCGCAGACCAGAGCTCCTGGGGTATATTTTGCAGTGGTGACACGTCGATAGCGGCTCTAACCACACTCGCCTGCGGGACGACCACCCTTCAGAGATAGTACCCATCGCTACGAGATCCTTCCCTGGATGATCTTGCGTCGGCCGTTGGATGCGGTGTGGTTTTGCGTGATTTCGCAACAATAGCCCGAGGCCGACATTTGGAGCCGGAACGAAAGACAACCCCCCTGACAGCTATTATGCGGGTATTTGATCATAGCGAATCTAACCGCTACCTTAGAGGTCTCCAGAAGGACTTATCGGGGTTGTTTATCGCTCGCAGCTTCAGAGCTCTCGCCTCCCGCTTCCAGGATGCGTTGAAAGAGGACAAAAAGGAAAGAAAGAAGCTAGCGAGACGGAGACCAACCCAGTAAACAAGTTCTCCGGGATAGATGGAACATTCCAGTGCACCTTCCGGGATCCCTAGCGTCGACGCTAAGTCAATGACATACGATATGCTCATCAAGTATTGGCGCCCACCGTAGGAAGATCAGCTTTCCCTTCCAAAACAACTGTAAGCCGCCAACTATCGTGGATAATCACTTATGATATTTGAAGATGTTTATGGACTCGACTATCCGAGATGGATACTACTACCCGTGCGACCAGTACCCTATCCGGAGAACTCTCGACTCATCATTCAGCCCGAGATATATATGCTCCTACCTGCTACTATCTGTCTCTCGAAGCTGACCTTGTAAGGTATCGATCGTTAGCTCTTCGAGAGATAGAGTATCTATGTCAGAGAGCTTTAGGGTGGGATCGTTAGACGGAGAGTCAGGGGGTTTCAACACGTATCTTGATTATATAAAGCTATCCTTAAGATATCGACTTCTCGCACTATTGAGGGCTCCTCTAGTAGTGCGAGAATAGAGGTCCTATTTATCTCTTTCTATATGTACCTTATAGGGGCCGCCTTAGTACTTAGGGGCCGTTAGCCCTATAGGGGCTATTCGCCCTATAGGGGCTACTCGCCCTAATCGCCCTATGGGGGCTATACGCCTGATGGGGGCCACTCGCCCCATGGGGTGTTGTCGGCCGGGAAGCCCGGGTGACATCTGGGTACTCTCGTCGAGTTTCAAGCAAGATAAGTAGAAGGCTCGACAGTGCCTTACCCCCAGTCGCTTCAATACATACGCTACCAGATCGGGTTAGCCGTACACCGTCTGCGATTCTGAGGACAGGAAGTCACACCTAATTTGGTAGAACCAAATCTCATCCCAGATGCCGGTAAATGTCAAATCAATCGACATATTGTCTAAAGACCAATTTTCCGCGTCATTCTTCAGTCGAGAATTCCAAAGAACTGTGGAGGTGTACGTTCCTAACGGGGCGATACCTAGATCTTTGCTTAAATGCTCTAAGGGAATAGCGATCGATTCGGGGAGCCGGCTTATGATTAGGTCGTTGCCGTTACCCTATACATATCCGTGGGCGACAAATGTCAGAATAACTAACAATCGTCGCTTCTCCGACAGTGATAGTCGGGTATAATCTTCCAATTGATACTGTGGAAGGGCATATACCTTCTCTCGCAATTTCAAAGAGGAGATGGCTTCTACCAACGGAGGATCGGATGTCAGCCCCTCCACAGGGGCAAAATGTGGAGGGAGAGAGGAAGCCGTGACAAGATCAGGCACGAAGCCAGTTTCTAAGGATACTCCGTACCAGCTGAGCTAGCTTAGGTCTATAATATGTGCAGCTATCGTCCTTAAACCGAGGAAGCGAGACACTATCTCTAGAGGCTGAAACCTAAGAAAGGTGAAATTATAGATATATTTTCTTCCAAATGAGAAAAACACTACACATTAAACCTGAAAGAGAAAGCATATGTATATTTCCTCCACGGGCGAGGAAGTGGCGCGCACTAAACCTAAAAGAGAAAGCAGAGGTATATTTCCTCCGCAAGTGAGGAAATAGAGCATACTAAACCTAAAAGAGAAGCATATGTATATTTCCTCTATAAGTGAGAAAATAAAGCACCCTCAGCTTATCTTTGTCTAGTCTCTCCTAGGTAATAATACAGATACGACGAAAACAATTCCGCAAACCAAAAGGCAGGGCGATATTCACCCCTATGGGACCAGACTAAGTACGAGCAGGTGCCTTACGTCTGATGCTTCCGTAGACCGTTTACTCCTGTGCATGTGAGGAAACGAAATTGGGTCGCATCTGAGCAAGCCCCGTCAAACGGCCCTCCAAGCCAGCATTTCCCAACAAGACTGTGACTCCTCGGGCTGTTTCTACGAATAATCGCTAGACATTTGAACTCAAAAGTAGATTCATATACGTACTGCATTTTAAGGCTGGCAAGTCGAGGATGATTCCGTACTTCTTTTCGGTTAAAGCCAGTCCATTGATTACAAATATAGGACGTGTTCGAGTACCATTACTCATTCCATTGAATATGAAGCGGGTAGCCGGCTACTGCGGATATCAAGATGGAAGCGACGAGAAATGTCTTCAGGACTTACAGTTCTGTAAACTACGTTTGAAAGTCAAATTGGTACGGAAGCTGCTGATAGACGTTACTAGTTTACAGTCTAGACCAGGTATCGCAGCATTAGTTGTGGTATAGCTATGCCAGTTGGATCGTAGCCGTCAAGACTGTCGGATAGAATAAGGATTCTACGATTTGTTACTATTATGTTGCCGAACTCAGCCAATGAATTAGTGCTTACCGACACCACGGCTTAAGTTAATGTTACTACCGCAAACGTAATTATTGCGACTGAGAAGCAATAGGGGCCCAGTATGGAGTCTTAATATGTTGAATCGGAGTACTTGTGCATAACTTCGGCGTTAACAGCGGACGAAGACGCACATGCGACCAAAAGTGGTGTCATACCCTGAGCGTTCGTTGCGCACGAACGTTCGTAGATGCTCATACAAACGAATAGTACAGATAACACGGTAAGTGGGAAAGCTCGAGTTGAGTTATAAGTTCAGACTGGTCGACTCTCACGATGTTCTTTTCGCTTTACGGATCGGATCAGCAGCACCGCCAGGCTACCATCTACGAAGCCCCGATATACAGTAGGTCCGCAAAAGTCACCGGACAGAGGCTGTTTTCCACCAGAACAGGTAGTTTTCAACAGACGATATCTTAATAATTTATTATGGCGACCCTTAGTTATTTATATAGGAGAATATACTATATTATCTAAGCTTTCCATAATTATATATCTGAAAGCGCGATAGTCGAAAAGTTATCTTCTATATAAGGAACAGTTAGTTTAGATATCATACAAAAAATCTAATTTTCTATAGGACTTAACCTAATACTTTCTTTTATATAGTATAACCTTTCGTACACTACGCTTTTAGATATATAATTACTATATAGAGAAAGCTAAGATAATCCAATATATTCTACTATACAAATAACTAGGGGTCGCCATAATAAGTTATTGAGATATCGTCTGTTGAAAACTACCTGTTTTGGTGGAAAACAGCCTCTGTCCGGTGACTTTTGCGGACCTACTGTAAGTCCCTCACCCAGACACATTCCAGGCACGGTTCGCGTACTCGACACAGAACAACCATTTTACACGGGGGATGTCGGTAGTCGACGCGAAGATATTATTCTTATTCCGCCACCTTCGGTGAGATTACACCGTTACCGTATCACTTTTCGATTCTGAGCTAACCTTTTCAAGGACGATCTTAATGATCCATTAAACTGGTCAGATAAGCGTAAACAGCTGGCAATAGCCTGTATGCTCGGGTACACCGTAGCGATCGGTATCTCGTCAGCGGCAATTTACTCTGTCCTAGAGAACATCTCGGCACATACAGACCTAAACTTGTCCACTCTCAATCAAGGAACCGGATACATGGTGGGTGCTTGTCCTTTAGGCCATTGTTGGGGTGTATTTACTGATCAACACTAGCCTCGAGGGGCGCTGCTCAATACTAACAAGTCATAAACACACAGTTCCTCTCATTCGGGTGGGGGTGTCTTTTTTAGCAACCAGTGGCCTTACAGTACGGAAAGCGACCGGTTTACCTATCTAGCACCCTAGGGACAATAATTACTATGATCTGGGCATCGCATTGCACGTCCAAGTCCACCTGGATTGCTAGCAAAGTCTTGCAGGGCTTTTTCGGAGCTCCGATCGAGAGCCTTTGTGGGGTTTCGGTGACGGACCTGGTACGGTGAATCTTCCTCTCTGACCGGAGAAGTGCCTTTAAAGATAACCATTGTCGCGAGGTAGTATTTCGTGCATAAGCGAGGGTTTTACATCACCATATACGGCCTGGTGCTTTCGGGAAGCAGTACAAGCGCGCCGATTGTCAGTGGTTTTATTGCCGACGGACAGGGATAGCGATAGGTCCTGGTAGGCCCCAAAATTACCCTCATTTCCATCTGTGACGCTTGACTCCTTTTGCTGACATTAGCTTCACAGTATTGGTGTGCTATTTTGTGTGCCCTTGTTCTCGCTTCTTTGTCCCTTCTCATAGAAGAGACAAATTATCGTCGAACTTCCGCGGATGCCACCGACGCCGTGAACCTTGAATATTCGAGTAAGAAGATATAGGCCAGCAAATTGCGACTCTAGCAGGTGACTGATGTTCAAGAACCAAATCGGTTGATCAGTATGATAATAAGACCTCTCATCTACGCTACGTTCCCTATAGTGGCCTTCTGTGGATTTTCTTACGGTTCGAGTCTTCTATAGGATAGTCTCCTTAATGCGACTTCCTCGTTAGTCTTGACGAAAATCTACGGATTCCGAACAAGTATAGTCGGAGTCTCGTACATCGCGGTCCTACTCGGTGTCTTAGTCGGCGCTGCATATACAGGCATATATAGGAACAAATATACGATGCAATTGGCACGAAAGAATAGTGGACTGTTGGAAAGCGAATACCGACTCCGACTCCTCGTCCCTGCAATTTTCATTCTGCCGGGCGGTTTTATCCTCTGGGGAGTCGGCGCTTACCATGGCGTTCACTGGGTCGGAGTCATTCTTAGCATGTTTTTGATCACTAGTGCGAGTTCGATCATGGTCCAGGAAAGTATTAACTATTGCATCGGCTCGTACCCTCTAGCTAGAGAGGCTATATCAGCGTCATCTTAATCCGGAACACCATGATCTTCGGTCTCAGCTACGGGCTGACACCGTGGGTTTTGAATCTCGGGCTACAAAACGTATTCATCATAGCGGCCATCGCAGCCTTTTTACAATGCTCTACTATCATCGGGATGATCTCTTACGGGAAACGATAGAGAGAGAAAAGCGTGCCTCGCTACCGCAAATATGTCATTCAGACGGTAGGGAGGACCATCAATGACGTCTAAGGTACACTCACTCCATGGTATTTCCGAGACAGAAGGGGTCCAGACTCCCGGATCTTTAATGGGATCTAGAAAGGGAGGCTTCCTAGCGAGGTTTCGTAGACTATATATAATGATCAGTCTGGGCAACATCCAGAGATCATATCCGGGAAAGGCTCCAAATGAGAGTTCCTCCGTGGGAAGAAATATTTGTGACAGTTTCTGGAGGTCATCCTGGTTTAGTAATAGCAGCCAGTCGCATTCTTCCGGGTAATTCAGATCTGATACGGAGGTTTGAGACGGGTCAACAAATTATAAGTCCCTTCCTCGAGATTTCTATCAGTGTGCTACAGACTCATATTTACCCAGTGTCATATTGACCCCGCGTAGATACTTCTACGATTTACAGAGTGCACCACTTTTTGCACCTCCAATCCACCTATTGCTATATCTCAGCCTGAGTTCAAGAAGTGTCCAACCATTATGGGTTCAATACCGACTACCACTCACAACTGTCATGGGAAATAATACCTTTTTATCACTTTCGCTATCGTACGGAGCTAAAACAATTCACCTAACGACTTAGGTGATCGGGGGGTTCGCGGTCCAATAACCCTTCACTCACTCTAGTAGGGCCATATCGCTCCCTCCGCGCCTAGCCTCCGTGAGTCCTCCTCGCGCCACCTAATCGCGTAAGGTGCCTCGCTTGAGGCTTAGCTGTACACTTGTGTAATCTACGACCTAACCTTTCACTACCATACATAATTCCTTGTAATTTAACGTGTAGAGAGCTACACGCGCCAAATGGCAGTCGACTTCAACACTAAGGTGTAGGCCGCGGCTATAGCTGTCACAGGGGCAGTGGCGATCGTGACATTGATCGTTCAGGCAGCGATTGATCAGGAAACGCTAGGTATGGACTTAACGTTACTATTGATGTTTCCTACGACGCGCTAACTACTTAACCACAGCTAAAAGACGTAGGAAACGTAAGAAGGTGCGTCGGTCGCGACTATCTCGACCACTCATTCCGTTTAACTAATTCATCTTCAACCTTAACGATCTAAGCGATAAAGCGATCTTTACCAGACTACGCTTTACTAGGATAGAGATCGAGACGATCCTACCGTTCCTATTACTAGACGCCGTTAAGTACCGTAATAGGTATAGACTATCGCCAGTGAAGGCTCTATCTATCGTCCTTACTCGTCTCGCGTGGCCTAATCGCCTTATTAATCTCTCAGACCTTTTCGGTTGTTCACCTTAGTAACTGTATATTATCTTTAACGATATCACAACCCACCTTACTCGGACCTTTCGATATAAGCTCTTCTAGGAATCGCGATACCTATAAAGAGATAAAATCCTTACCTTCGCATAGGCGATAAAAGAGTACGGAGGCGGGGATAGAATTTAGGGCTGGATAGACGGAACGATCGTTGAGATAGCCAGGCCAGAAAGAGATCAAGAGGTGTGCTATACCGGGTATAAAAAGTGCTATAGCCTGAAGTTCTAGGCTATCGTTACACCTGATAGAATAATCGCCTCGTTCGTAGGGCCCGTTATTACTTCTAAAGGCGATTAGGCGTTACTTAAACGATCAGGAATTGAGGATTAGATTCGAAAGATATAGCGTGATCATGGAGTGCCTCAAAATAAAGAGCTTTTTTTGTATGGGGATCCTACTTATTATAGCTCTCCCATTTGTATCGGCGCATTTAAAAACCCTCCTCATAGCTAGATAACCGAAACGTAGAGAGCGTTTAATCGAGAGATATCTAAGAGGAGGATTGAGATGGAACACGACTTCGGACTGCTTAAGAATCTCTAGATGAAGTTAGCACTGGAATAAACTATAAAGGTAGCGTAGTCTCCTATTAGTAGCTGGGTAATATTAGCGATTCTTCTAACTAATATTCTGATCTGTTTGCGCGGTAATTAGATCTCGTAGAGGATAAAGATAGCACCGCTATCGCTAGAGGAATATATAGCACGTTAAAGAGGCTATCTAAGATAACCTCGTTAGCGTTAATTATAGTGTTATTGAGCGATAATATATATAAGCGGGGTTAATTTTCAGTTAGAGTCTATGAACTTGAGTAACGTTAATTCTAACCAATAGTGTTAGAGCGGATAAACTATATTCCGCCGCTAGTATATATATAGTTAGTCGTTTTAAATATTAGCCAATAGGAAAGGTCCGGAGAAATGTTATCACGTTCCGCGATATCAGAATAAGAGCGTAGTTGTCACCCGGGAAGCAGGGCTATTACAATAACTATTATAACACCTCTATTCTCGCACTGCTAGAGAGGCCCTTAACAGTGCGAGAAGTCGATATCTTAAGGATAGCTTTATACAATATAGATACGTGTTCAACCCTCTAACTCTTCGTCTAACGATCCCACCCCAAGGCTCTCTAATAGTAGTTTTCAAAATCTCAATATGCTATTTTTTGCCTACTACTCTTTAGGTATTAATAGGTCCAGTAACCGGTCTAACTTACCACTTAAATCGTCCTGCTTTTTCTCCATAATCTTTATCCTTTTCTCTATATCTGAGACGTTTAGATTAGACGATATTAATTACCCTAATATCGCTAGTTCTCTAAGACTTTGGGCCATATCTTAAACCGTCTGCACGAGAGTCTAGTTGATAGTTAAGGACGATTATTTGACGGTCTTTCTGACTCTCGCAGAGGATCTAGTAGTTAATGCCGATCTGCTTGCACTACGTGAGATAGCGATAGCTAATCTACGGCCTCATCGATTAACGGTCCTCGCTAATCGTTAAGAGAGATAGTAGTCGTTATTAATCTCATCGAAGTTTGAGACGCTAACTGTCTCAGATTCGTTTTCGAATAGCTCAAGTAAAGCCTCAAGATCATCCTCCTCATTATCCTCCTCTATCTCGTCGTCGTTAGCACTCTCTAAAGAAGAGTTAGTCGGTCTATCCTGCCTCAAAAGAAGCGAGTTTGTGGCGAATCTATCGGCCTGCTCCTATCGATATTCATTCGCTAACGTCTTTATCGTCGTCCTCTGCCTCTTATCTCGAGCTATAGTATCTTCCTTCTCTTTATAGATATCACACTACTCATCCATAACTAGAGCGAACTCATCTTTGCGAGGTTCTGTACCCGATGGATTCTACATCTCCATAAGGCGGAAGGTCCTCCACTAGGTGACTCATTTACTCCGTATACTAAGCCAATCTCGAATGCGTTTGTGGTCTTGTTCATGAGTGATGTTGATAAAGAGACGGACATCTTCCTCCCACACTTTCACACTGAGGTTACGGAACTTAAAGGCGTTCGAGATGCAGTGTTGGACCACCACCTTCCTCTCTATCTCCTCCTGTTGGTCATAGGTGCGTATAGGGAAGAGCTCGCGGTAGCTCAGGGCCCAGGCCTTTAAAAGAGTAGGGTTAGTTGGTTTATCAGGGTAGGCTTTTATGGCCGAGGCATGCCGTTGATTCATCATTCTATACAATCCACAGGCCAAAACTGAAAGGGCCACTATCACGCCGCACAATCCTCAACGCGTAGGAACACAGATTCCACTTGGCAACTAGGCCTTTTCAGGCCACTTACGGAGCCCTTAGGCTACGGAGACGGAGGCGCTAAAGCTCCGTGATTTCACGGAGATTTAGCGCTGTTTCCTCCGTGATATCGTCGCCGCCTATCCTATCTAGGTATCAAGGCGCGCGAGGAGGCACTGGTGCCACGCCAGCGAGACTAGCCACGAACACCTCAATTTTGGTGCCTAATCGGGGTGCGGAGGGAGACAGCGATATGGCCCTAGTAATTTCTGACGAACATCAATATTCTTGCTATCCTTCCTGCCACTTTGATACGCCTCCTAGTCTTTCACTGTTATTCTCGTTCTCTTTGTGCCTAGTTTGAGTCCGACATTATGCGTCTTTAGGAATAGTTCCGCAATTTGGTCAGCCGTTTGACGGAACTTGACGAGCTGCATCTTCGAGATCCACGGCACGCCACTGCTTATGGTGGCCAAACACGGCATGAGCTTATTGTCCACCTTACTATTATTTGGGGAAGTCACGCTGGGTTGGTCGCGAGAAGTTACGACTAACGGCCCTTGTTACGCGACTCTCTTGATTTCGTGGTCGAAGTCTATTTCAAAATTAAGCATATTGGCAACATCCCGCCGGGACTCTGTTTCAGTTTTCGTGTCGATTTTCCGATCCCAAGGACCTGGGCGTCCACTACGTATAATATGCGTATCAGAGTTCGTGTTGATTTCCATCGAACACCTCATCAAGGGCAGACTTACAGGTTTCGAAGAAAATTACTTATACTGCACAATAAGTCTTTTAGGTCACACGTTTTTTTCGAGCGGAACTCACCGATTTTCGCTCCTCAGAGAGCTTTCCTACACCGCCCCCTACCGCCGACATTTCTTTTTCTATCCTCCGAGCTTCATGTATTTCCCACTTCTTCTCCTTAACAGCCATCGACAAGAGGCCATCAGCGACGCCGGAACAGTAACTGAAGACTGGCGTTCTCCCCCTATGGACGCATACCCATTCCGATATCCTATTGTATGCGATCTCAAACGCGATGGCGGCTATAGCCGTATTGGCACGAATACCGTAGAAGTGCCAGTCAATCGTTAAGTATCCATTCTGCACGTACCGTCTGCATTCATAAAAGGTGGTCATAGCTTTGCCGAGATTACGAACCCGACCTTGCCTTTACCCAGGTTTGCGCTCCGTGGCATTACTGATAGAGACAATACTCTCGCCATCAAGCGGCGTAACGTCTCCATTTGGACGTTCCGTCACCACATCTATATTCGTAATATTATATTGAGTCATCAAGCGAGAGCAGAGAGATAATACAGCCTTAGCTTCCTGTTCGACAGTATTTGGGTGATTAGCGAGCGCCAGACGTTTTCGAATCCGCTCAATAACATAACCGTGCCCCTTTAAAGGGTCGGCCGCGTGGGAAAACTCTTCCGGAAATATGTTACTAGCGAGGATCGTGACCTTTGCTCTGTGGTGAGGGACGCGCGATCGTGAACGTGCTTCCTTTGATTGATCGGACTCTAGCTGCGCATCGGTCAAGTCGAAGGATTGAGCAGTATCGCGATTGTTTCGCTCGCCCTTCTGTCTTGGTGCCATTGGAACACCTCAAAATCCCCTCTACGATGGCAAGGGGATAAGTGGACAAGATCGCTCAAAGTAACTTCGGAGTACGAACATGGAATAATGTGCACGAGACACGCAGTGGCATTTATCGAGTATTTGGATAGCATATGGTTTGATCAAAGGGAGGCAAATTGTCTAGCTCAGGAATTGTGAAAACGCTATTAAGCTTCATCGTTTCAGCGTTGACCTGTTCGAACGCCAGCCAGTGCGGAATCAGAACAGTGTCCGATCCAGACATCCTTATTACTGACTTCCAAAAGGTGGTATTCAGGTGGACCTACCTTCGTCAGCTCTAACCTAAATTCAATATTAGATTTCGTGAGTGATTATAGATTGGACTACTACCTGATTTAGGCGACTACAGCCGCAAAGTCTATCATTTGAAGACAGTTCCTACACTATTTTACTGATCTTTCCCGGCGCGCCACACGTTTCAGCCTCATCCCCGTGCCAGCTCTCTGCGCAGTCGCCACGCTGCCTTGCACCGGCCACATACGCCCGTCTGGACATACACCTACAGCCCGATCGGACATTCTTCACAATGCGTCTATATAATCGCTGGGTCAGTGCTAGCCATAGTCCAGTATTAAACATCTTCAAAGACATCCAGCCGCCTATCACTATCTAGCGTTTAACGCGCCTACTTCCTAACCAACTTCGCCATCACCTCGCCGTCATTACGATCACCGCAACTGCCGCTCTGCGCCCAGTCAGTCTACTAGAGTAGTATCCCCTTACGGGTCACAACGACAACTCGAGCTTTTTTGAGCCATGGGAAGCACGGTCTGCTTATCTAGGCCGTATATGTACTCATAACGTGCCGCCAGAGCGCACCCGACACCATACGGCTTCTGAAATTCGACGACTAGGGTGAGCCCAGCCTAACTGGTGACCTTCAAGATAATATCCCTCCCTACGCGATCCTCTCGTATATATGGGGAGACGATAATGACGAGATTAATTTCGATAATCTAAAATAGAAATCTTTTATAAATAAGGCTAGTTATATAAAGATCTAGTTTTATAGCGAGTAAGCGAAGAAGGATAAGCTCGAATACTTCTAGGTGGATATATACTATATTAATAAGGCAAATAATACCGAATACTCTGCTTTTATTAACTCTATATTTCGCTAGTACCGCGATGCCGTCAAGTACTATATCTACCTAGCCGACGTGTTAATCCCTAACGGTGAAGACCATACGGAACGGATATGGGAGCGGGCGTTTCGCAATAGTAGATAGTTCATATAGAGCTGGACACTTCAAGAGCTTTTAGCGCCGATATCGGTCGAGTTCTTTTCACGAGAAGGATATCGACTAGACAGTAGAGGTACTCTCGAATAGTAGATCTACGAAATTACGGATATTCCGCTTACGGCCCTCCGCGGTACGCCGTTATCTTCATTTAGTGTGGACGAGCGTTTCCGGTGGGCTATTAAATGTAATACTAAGAAGAAGGAGGATAAGATATACTATTTATTCGGGATCTTTAGTACCTTTGTCACCCGGGAAGTAGGGCTGTTACAATGACTGTTACAATGCGCTTCCCGGCCGACAACACCCCATGGGGCGAATGGCCCCCATCAGGCGCTTGACCCCCATGGGGATAACGGCCCCCAAATGCCAAGGCGGCCCCACGAGGTATATATAGGAAAGAGATAAAGAGGACCTCTATTCTCGCACTACTGGAGAAACCCTCAACAGTGCGAGAAGTCGATATCTTAAGGACAGCTTTATATAAATTAAGATACGTGTTCAACCCTCTGACTCTTCGTCTAACGATCCCACCCTAAGGCTCTCTGATAACCTTTATATCTCCCATCTACGGCGAAGAAGACTACGCTTTTATCCGGCTTAATAGAGAGCTCAGTCGGTCTCTACCGAGTAAGTTCACTATTATTATCTAACTAATCTTATACCTAACCTATCTAGGAATAAACCCGGATAAGAGTAATATATACTGGATAGTACCTCACTCGTCTAATACCTTATTCATAGGGAGAATAGAAATTCTTAATAGTTTAGAATAGAGAGTTTACGCGGCGATATAGAATAACTTACGCTCTAATTAATATCGCGTAGTTATTATAAGTCTAGATAACTAAGATAAGAGTAAGATTAACCTATAGTTATCGAAATATATTTAATTATTATAGATTATATCCGTTCTAATTATCTTTCTAAGTTAATACTACTAACTCCGGCTAGACTCTAGAGAGTTTTCTAGATTAATATTAATACGCTCTCTTTAGCGAAGAATAGATTTCTTAATATCGCTTATTAACTTTAAATCTCTATATTCTCGTAGGAGAAAGACCGATAAGAACTAGCTAATATCCGATAATTATAGATATTAATACTAGATAATATAGATAATCTCTATATTAACTACTATATCTACTTCTCTCCCGGCTTATCGGGCGTAATAGTACTAATATCGCGAAATACTAAATATTAGAAGTATATTATCTTTGAATATATAACTTTAGAAGAACTTCTAGTAGAGGAGATAATAGAACTCTTATTAAAGGTAGCTAATATTACTAGCGACTCCCGCTCTCTACTAGATAATAATATACGAAAGATAGCTATCTTACTCTAGTTATATTCTCTCGCCCTAATCTAGACTAGAGCGTATATATAATACAATTACTATAGTCTAGCGGACTATCTCTAAGTATACTAGTATTAACGGAAGCGACTTCTTAAATTTTAACTATTATAAATTATCAGAGAGTCTCGGGGTGGGATCGTTAGACGAAGAGTTAGAGAGTTAAATATATATCTATATTATATAAAGCT